AAAATCGGTATTAATATAAAATTAAAAAAAATTGTATTTAATATTGACAATGTACCTTAAAATATTTCATATTTGATTATTATCGGTTACTGTAATTTATAAATAATATTATTGTTACAAAGCCGAGATGATCTCGAAGACGACTGATGCCAAACACACCTATGTTAAGGTATTTATAAATCTGCTACTCGTCAACAGTATTGTTCCTTTTTACCCGATCTTCAATATTCCCCCGTTATAAAATTAATTGAAGACATTGGTATGTATACTTCACTTTCACTTTAACCTACGTCTGTATTTTAAATTAATTTAATTTCGTGTTATTGAATTTAGGTAACGTAAATGTTTCAACTATACTACTTCTGATAGGAACCACGTGCTTCACAAATTATTGTCATAACTTCATTTCCATAAACTTGTTTCGTTTTGAATTAAACGTGCCACCTAATTATACTACACACACACTTTAACATATTGTATAATACATTTGAATTATTTATTTTTTAACGTATATTGAACTTTGAGCAACATTTCTGTAGTACTTTTCAACAAACAAATTTTAATAATACTTAATTATTATATTTATTTAATTTTAAACAGTTCTATATATTTATGAATTGTTGAAGAATTACTTTATTTTTTAGTTTCATTAATCAATTTTTTTTAAATAAAATTAATTCAAAACTTTATGAGTTATTATTAAAAGTTTTCTATAAAAAAACTATAAATCTCATTTGAAGTTAATTGTTTATAAAAATCTGAGCTATCATACAATTTTATACACATTGAAATAATGGTGCGATTATATTTTTTTGTTGGGATATATGTAATAGTTAAATTTTATGCATAATTATATCAAAAAATATTATACTGTCAGCTAACTTATTCGAAAAAATTCTTCTTGTGAAAATAAAATGTTCTTAGTTTAAACTTGTTTATTTCGGAATAGGATTTTAAATATTCTTCATATCATTCTCGACTATATTTATGCAACATAAATGTGACTGTAAGTACCCTAAATAACGTAAAGAACGTTAGTACAATAAAATTACACCAATTTCAAGACAATCCAAGGTTCCCTTTAATATTATGTACTTGAACTTAAAATAATTAATTTTTCGAATTTATTTGATATTATATTCTATATTCTAACATATATGATATATGTTCTGAATAATATTTATATAAATAGTACAACGCAGACGTAACTCTATGCAAGTTTGATAATATCTTATTCATCAAAAGTTTGAGATCCCGTCCAATGTGCAAAAACTAGTAAATACGACGAAACATAAAAGTGTTATGTCATGTGGATATAAATACCTTTTGATTTTGATAGAGGGTCATTAAGATACCAAATAAACTACCATATAACTATTTAAGGATTATTCATGTTGATTAAAATCAAAGGTAACACGTGTAACTGCATAAAATATTAACAATGGACGATATGTGAATATTAAAATTTAATTTCATAAATAAGTTGTAAGAACATCAGAGTAATTGAAACATATTGTCTGCTTGTCGTGGAATATCGTTAACTATATTTTTGTCATTTTTTGTTTTACAAAATTTTTTATTATACCATTTAATACATAAGTATATAATTTTTTTATATGTACAAAAACGGTGTAATATATTTTTTATAGATTATATACAATGTAAAGTAATATCTACATACTACTCAAAACTGGAGAACAGATTTTACTATCTAGGACTTTTTTAATATTTATTTAAAACTAAAAAAATCGCGAAAATGTATTTCAAGATGTAAATGCTACCTTTATCAGCGCTAAACACATACTGACACCACAACCAGAAAAAAACCCTTATATATCTTATCTCCTAGTAACGTTATCACTAAGTAATATTATCACATTTTATCAGTTTACACAAGTTTAAAAATTAATTTTTAAGTGGTCCATGATCCCAATTATTTATATTGTTCTTATTTTTAAACATTTCTTTTACCTCCCTTATATTAAGTTCTTTGTAATTATTTACGTTTTAAATTAGTTTTATGGTTTTAATGGAGTGATTATGTGTCAATAAATGTTCAGCCACCGGAAATTTATTAACTTCTAGATTTTTAATGTTTCTCAAGTATTCTTTAAACCTGACCCCTATATTTTTTTTTTTGTCCTACGTAACATTTATACAACTTTCACATTGTATTTTATCAATGCTCGATTTCCCCCTTCTTCTACTTTATCTTTAGGGTTATCTAATAAATCGCTTAAATTATTACTTTTAAATATTACTAAAGTAATACAGACATTTTTTAGAATTCTATCAAGTCCATTTGAGATGTCCGTATAATATAAAATTGGTGATTCTTATTACTTTTTATTTACTCGTACTAATGAGTGTACTAGGCTGCCCACCATTTTTTATTCCACTTTTTCTGTGTTCGGACTAATTTTGAACTTACGATTTCGCTATACCCAATTAAATCTAGCTAATTCCCTTGTACACCCAGTTCTTTATTAAAATTTATTTTATTCGTTGGAATATTAACAAATCTGTAAATGGTAAAAGCCGCCATTTTGTGTTGCCAGTTTGGTTCGAATTGTTCGGAATGTAAATGTATGTGTGCTTTTCCGATAAATTTCAAAATTTAGTTCCTCCTCTACTGTTTCAAATAATAAATCCGAAAAATACTACTTTCCCTCTACTATCTGTTAGTATGTAAATTTAATTGATGGGTAAAAAGAATTGAAATGTTGTATGAAGACCACCGTATTAACATCTTTGTTTTGACTGTAAAAATACCATCCATAAACCTAACCAAAATTGTTGGAAATTCACCATA